CGGGTCCCGGCCGGCGGAGTTCCTCCAGCCTCGCCGTGTAAAACACATCGGTGTGCGCCCGCACGGGCAGCCTCGGGCTGTGGGTGTTGGGCAGCCGGTTTGTAAGTCTTTAAGCAACGCAGAGTAGATTTTCGCTGAAATGGTGATTTTAAAAATCGGAAAATTACCCCTGCAGCCGAAGAGACAAGCAGAGGAAACATGCCTGAACCAAAGTCACTGGATTTTAGGGCTTCTCTTCTTGGAAACACAAGAAGGGTAGGAATTTGAACGGCTAGTCTTGTAGTAACTTTTCGTTACAGGAGAACTGATGGTCCTAGAGCTATTTTTCACAAATGCTTGTATGCTTTAGTCTCTCAAGACGTAGCAGTTCTTACTTGTGCTTCATGCACCTGTTAACTACACTGCAATTTTGGCAGAGAGGATGGTGTTTGTGTTTTTGCTGAGTATGCCTTCTTTACTGCTCAATCACTTGGTTTGCTGTTCAAAATATAATGCAACACAACTAAAATCCTGCATTGTTGTTATTAAAATTCAAACAAGCAAGGAACGTCATAGTAAGAAGTTAAATAATTAAATCTTATGAAGAGAGTCAGCTTTAAGTGGTTTAATTATGTTTTAAGGAAAGTGAGAGCTTAATATGACTGAAAAAAAAAAATCTCTAAAAGCCTCTCCCAAAGGCAGAACACTTCATATAAACTCTGGCAGTGAAATGCATAAAAAGTTCTTGCTTTGTACTTTAATATGGAAGTAAATAAACTTATTCATCAGATGACTTTGGATGTTGGACTTGCTGGTACCCACTACTTTGGATCACATAACATACGGGCTGCTAAGTAGTTCTTGATGTAAATCAAGAAGAATTAATCTTGTTATCTGTGTGAAGAATTAATGCAGTTATCTGTCATGTTTTGCTTAGTCTCTGAAATGTACTTGTTCTGTTCTCTTACCTAAAAGTGAGATCTTTGACATTCTTAGTCCTTTACACTTGTGCTGACCTGCTAGCTAAATGGTGTACTAGCTTAACTACACAGTTTTGCTTGTTTATGAGCTTGTGGGCATGTTGATTTTGCTTCACCTCGACAAGCATAAAGAGTTAAAGCTGACAGATACAATGTCTGGAACAACTTCTGAATGTTGTTAATGCAACACGTAAAATACATGTAGTATGTTCCACATGTGTTTCAGAGATCAATTTTTTTATCTGTTGCTAGTTCAAGAAACTCAGCCTCTCCAAAAAGCATAACACATTGTGATTTGCCTCCCTACCATAATTTTCTCAGCAGCGTTGAGTGCCTTTTCTTTCTATAGTGGCGTGTTTTGGAAATTTTCATCTTATTTGTCACCTCCTGCCCACTCCCATTTGGGGTTTTGTATTTAAACAAGATTCATCTTCTGTGACGTAGTCATCCTCTGCTCTTCATTCTTTAAAAAGTTTTCTTCATCTCATGAATCCCATTTGAATGCTATGGGCTGTATCTGTGCTGTAGAGAAATTTTGTGACAATTTGCAAAGCTAGGCAATCTGAATAATACGGGATGGAAATTGTTCTGTGATGATGCTCAGGCACTGAAAACATTACATTTTTGTCAGTGCATTGTTTGTCGAATTGTTAGATTTTGCTTTTCAGCAGAACTAGCTGAAATTTGCGTAGCTATGCTACTCAAAGTTAGCTTTGTTTGTACTTGCTTGTGGGTTGATGCGCTATACTCCACTGCATGTGTGGGTTTTTTAAAATTTTTTTAGGATTTTGGATTTTTCAGAGCCCAATTTTAATACTTATAATAGTTGTAATCATCTTGCTTTCCTTTTTAGCAATTTCTTTGTTCTTCACACACTGAGCTCTCCTGTGGAGAAGCTATTCTCAGGTGCTCTTGTATAATGGAATATAAATATTTAAAGAGCATTTGTTGTCTCTGCTCTGGAAGAAATCTGACCTGTTTCTGACACTGAGTGATGGCAGGTCCACATAAAGGCATCCTTGAATACAGCAGCTTCATAAGATCAGGAGATGTTCTCAGTTTCTACCTGTATAAATTATCTAAAATTTTGTGGTTTGTTAGGGACAAAATATGTTTGTTAAGGATAGTTCCTTTTTTTTTTTTTTTTTTTGCTTTTATTGGTCTAGATTGGGAAGGTGACAACTTTAGAAAGTTGTTACAATACTTAATTATTCAGTTTTCTGCGTTATTTGAAATTACCTTAGTTTGAGGTTAGTTACCATTTAAAATATGAAAGAAATTTCTTTCTTAAAAACAACCACGGAATTTTGAGAAACAAGCTTTAGGAAACTTCCTGTAGTAATTCAAAGTGTCACCACTCGCAGTTAATCTGCTCATGGAGGCAAGTTAGCAGTAGGGAATATCTGTCTATATCTCAGCTTCTCTGATATGAATCCAGTTGTTTTTTTTAGCTTAAGCTGCTGATCAGAATGGGAGCTGAGATGATATGAGCCTATGAGCTAAGGTGATAGTGCACGTTCTGTCTGCAAGGGTTGTGATAATCACTGGAGGAGAGATTGGTATGTCATTAACCACCATCTCCTGTCCCATGACATATGCATGGATATTATTCCCCTATTCCATAGCTCCCTCCCTCGAATAAAAACAGTTGATGACTCAGGCCCCGTATCTGGAGGTGATCACTCAGGGCAGGGGATATTTATTAGGTGATCACTCGGGGCAGGGCATGTCAGATAGTTGGGTGCCAAGACCCACTAGGGTTGAGTCACAGTTGCCTGGTTCCTCACAAGGCTCATCCTCCTTCGGTTCAAGTGGTTCTGCTGAACTGTCGCTGTACTGTAATGTACAAGTCAAATCGTGGGTTATTTCCCCTGAGTTTAAATCTCCTTGAGATACACACTAAACTTCCTCATCCTTCCACATTACCCACCAAGTGCACTTGGTCCTCGAGCAAAGAAAATCTCACGAATGGCTTTGCCTTTTCTCAAGGGAAGAGCAACCTACTGTGCCTTTCCCAGCCACTAAAAGCACTGGACTTCAATATGTAGTAAAGTAAGCGAGCTCAGCAACCAGCACAGGAGCCATTTGACGACTATACCGGGCTCAGATCAAAACAGAGCATTATCTTGAGCTCCACGTTGGGGAGAAGAACGATTCTCCCCATCAGAGCAAGAACGATTGTGGTGGGTTGACCCTGGCCAACAGCTAAAGACGCACCCAGAGTGACTTGCTGGATGGGGAGAAGATGGAAGAGAGGTGAGAAGGCTTGTGGGTAGAGATAATGGCAGTTTAACAGGGAAAGCGAAAGCTGCGTGCTCAAGCAGAGCAAAATGAGGAATTCCATCACTACTTCCCATCAGTGGGCAGATGATCAGCCGCTTTCTGGAAAGCAGGGCCTCAGCATGCTTGATGGCTGCTTGGGAAGGCAAATGCAATAACCACTAATGTTTCCTCTTCCTCCTCTTTTCCCTGAGCTACTTTTTGCTCAGCATGACATCATTAGGTATGGAATATTCCTCCTGTCAGTTTGGGCTAGCTGCCCTGGCTGTGTCTCCTCCCAACCTCTTGCCCACCCCAGCCTACTGGCTTGGGGGGAGAGGGAGACAGGGCAGAGTGGGAAAGAGAGAAAGCCATGATGCTATGCAAGCACTGTCCAGCAAATATTTGGCAATAACCAAAATATTTGTGTGTTATCAGCAGTGTTTTAGCCAGCTGAATGGCTGCTGTGAAGAAAATAAACTTCGTTGCAGCCAGACCCAGTACATCATCATACCAGTGAGGTCATGGATTTGAGTTCATGGAGTAAAATGGCTCAAAGCTTGCCAGTGAAAGGCCTTTTCCTGGACAGCTACTGTTGTGCACAGGAGGATCGTTGTAGCTGAATCTCTTAAGGGAGTTTTAAAGCTTTTGCATCTTTGTGCACTTGACCGCAAGGTTTGTGTAAGTTTTACTGTCTCATAGCTCTGTGTGCATGCAAAGAAGTAAACATGCACATGATCACACAGTTATTCTTCATTGTTTGCTCCAGAGCAACATCAGAAAGAGGAATATTCTCTTTCTCCTCCTTGGAGCGTAGAAAGTGGGATTGTAAAATGATGGAAGTACCTGATGCTTCTATTTAATTTAGTGAGAATTACTAGATACTAAGTGGCCAGTTCCTCAAAGTACTCACTAGAGGACTCCATTTCCTTGTGAGATCTTTGTGTGTAAAAGAAATTGGCAGTTAAATGAATATACCTAACAGGTAGGACATTCTTTGTTTGCTTTTGATGTCTTATCCTGTTATGTTCTTACAAGCTTTACTCATGCTTGAAATTGGTCCTTATTTTCTGTCAGTCAGCAGAGCTGTGGGATGCGTTAGTGAGGCAGGCACTGGAATTTCACAGCCTGATGTGTCTTACTGCTCTAACTTGCAGGTTCCCTTGTGTGCGGCGGTCTCGCATTACTATTTTGTACGAGTAGCGAGTTGTTGCTGCCCAGATATGTAAAATGAGGGCAGATGACATGTGGGAGGACAGAAGAGTGAAAGACACAATGGAACTGTCATGGGGCTGACTGAATATGACATGCTCTGAGTAGGCAGGCTGCTGCTGGAGAAATGGCTTGCCTTGGTTGTAAGCAGGGACTAACTATGCGTTTCATCTTTTGTTTCTTTTTGGTTTCTTCTAGCGGTGACAAGACAACATCTGAGCCTCTGCAGTCTCTCTCCCAGCCTTCTTGGGTTGTTCTGGCCTGCCCACCTTGTTTCTGTAGCTTTGGTGGCTCTGGATGGCTAGTGAAGAGGGATGTTCAGTCTAATGGCCAATTGCTGCAGCTGGTTAAAACGGTGGCAGGAACCTGTCAGGTAAACATGTGAAAGTATTTTACATTTCTGTGCTGACCTTCCCAAACTGTACTTCATGTCCTCTCACCTATGTTTTAGTTTATTTCCTGTATAATGTTCTTCCATAGTTTTTAATTCTGAGACAAAATCCATCATTTTTTTCTCCAAGACAGAATCAATACATCTTCTGAACTTAAAAATGAAATGTTTATCATCTCTAATTCAGGTATTTTGTTTCTGACTCCAGGAAAGTATAAAGTTCAAAATATATTGTCCTTTGCATACCGTTTCCTCATGTTGAGCATTATGGGATGATGCTAGAATGTTTATGTAAAATTTATTCAGTTTTTGTCTTATTGATTTAATTTCTGCATTTTGAGATTATGAAGCGTAATGTGTTAAAACACTTTGTTGCCAAGAGTAGATGGTAGCCTCAGTGTAATACTAGTTTTCTTACTGTTATCTAAGTATCTTACTACTGCATTTTGTAGCCTGGAGATCCGTTCTTGCCTATGGAATCCTAATGTTCTCGTTTGTTTCTGTTATTCGTACATTGACAGCCTACATCCTGCATCCTTTCGCTCCAATTGGCAGACATAGTGCGTAGTTTGCTTCAAACTATTTACAAACTGTGGGGAAAAGAAATAAGGAGTACACCACACTAATTTATACTTCATGCTCATGCAGGAGGATTTGCTATTTTCTCCATTGCTGTGTAGTTCATGTTTTACAGAAAACACTGCTGTTCAAAGTACTGTATTGGATTGAATAACTTTCTGACACCACCAATGTGTTGTAGACAATTGTGAGCTTATAAATGTTCATGGCTGTTCTGACCCTAGCTGACTGTTGTAGTAGAGTTTACTGTGACCCTACTGTTGTGGTTTTTTAGATTCTTTTCTCAGAGCTTTTTGGCTGTTCTGAAATAACTTGTGTAAATTATACTTCATGTATGATGCTATTATAGTTTTAAGACTGGAAATAACAATGTTTTTAGTATTCCTTCGCTTAAAGGGACATAAAATCGAGCAAATTCCTTTGGCTTCTCTGAGTCTTTGTGAGTAGAAGGAACTATTGATGTATACACATAGATGTTTTTCCTATTGCTTTACTTAAAATCCTATCTGGTATAAATTCCAACCTGTATATCAGTTTGCTGATATATTGTACCTACTCAACACCGTGGGTTTGCACGTTTGCAGTCTAGATTGCTTGTTCCTGCTTGAAAGAAAGGTATGATGAGTACCAGTGCTGCTTGTTTATAGCATCTGATATTGTCTACACAAGTGTTGTATACTCTATAGTAGCTGCACGGGGTGAGAGAAAAATAAATTTCTAGTGTAGGCACAACTTTGAGGCAGAGAGACAGTAAAAATGCGGGAGAATGGAAACGAAATTACAGAAATTGCTAAAGAGACCATGACCACACACAAACACACAAAAATTTCTAGTACTGTCAAATTAAATTTCAGCAGGCACATAGAACTTGAAAGTAAAATCATTGTGTCATGTGAAACTTAGAGTACAATATTAGACTTCTCATTTCAAACCTTGTTTTTCTGCTCTGTCTAATCAGATCGTTTGACATATTGAACACCAGATATAGAATCGTAACAATGCCTGCTACTTGGTGTTTTGATAACTATTTTTTCTGCTACTTTGTGGTAAATTTGTTATGCTTGTATTAAAAAACTTAATAAAATAAGTGACATATAGCTAGAGGAAAAAATTTGAAATATCTTTCTTTTTTTTTTTTCTTCTCCTTATGGAGGAAGGTGACACTAATAATGGTGGGTCTTGATAATGCTGGTAAAACTGCTACAGTCCGAGGAATTCAAGGAGGTAAGCAATTAATTTATCATCTAAATGGAGCATTGAAAGAGAGAGTATAATTACTCATTTTCCATAATTTTAATCTAAAAATATTGCTTAATCTCTTAATTTATCTCTCCCTCTCATATTGTTGAAAGAAAATTTTGGTGATTGTACTCTCTTCTAAGATTCTAGTAGCCAAAGTGAGTATGTTACAGGCCCCGTTGTGTGAAGACCTGCAGATGAGAGAAAAAATAAGGGGTCTTACCTTTGAAACATAAAGATCCTGATTTTTGGTATCTGACAAGTCATGCTAGGGTGACTTACAAAGTAGGTGCTCGCAGTCATGTGCTTTATGCTCAGGACAAGTAGCAGATCAAGCCTTGTGTTTGCTCATTGGCCACTGCACCGTCACGTTAAGCTGATGTAGACCAAATCAGTGCTAGTTCAACACCACCAGCAGAAGTTGAAAAGCAAAGCTGATACCATTCTGCTACACGTTTTTCAAAGGTAATAGTATGGTGTAGAGGCAAGGTGGATAGTATGGAGAGAGCTGCCTCTTAAGATATTGCACCATGCAGCGTTGGAGCCGTTAGTTCACTGAGATAGAAAGAGTCATTCCACAGAAGTGTTTAAGACCAAATGTTCAGAGTACCTTGGTGCCTATATACCTTGAGTTGACCACTGTATTGTTAACTGTGTTGCAACAAAATCTCTTCTGAGTTCTTGTTTAAATGTCATGAGCATCATGGCATATTTTTTTGACTACAGGAAGGTTTTTTCAGTAGTTCTATAAATAGATGAAGGAACATTTTAACTACAAGCAAGTCATCTGACTCCATCAGTTGCTTTAAGTGAAAGAAAGTTTAGAACAAAAACTCTGAAGGTTGTAGACCACATTCTAATTAATAATTACTTTGAATTAATGCAAAGATACAAAATATTCTGGTTAATGATGTGATTTACATCTTAGCATACATCACAGAAATCTGTGGACCTGTTTTGGGGTTTGTTTTTTTTTTTTTTTTTCTTGTGTGCATGTGCTGAAGTTGCTTTCGGGTGACCACCCAGTGATGTGCATACATCACTCAACTTTATATAAAAATCAGTGTTGTAAGTATGTATAATGAGGAAAAGGTTCAATGGAAGGAAATTGCATGTATGTGTATGTAACATAAAGGATTATTCTAGCAATACATATTTTGTATCATTATTTGTCACCAGAAAAACACTAGCAATTTTCTAGGTGCTTACTTCAGTAAGAGACCACTTGATTTTTGAGGATACTTTGAACTATCCGATGACACATGCAAGTAGGATATAATTCGAAATGAAACTTGTGCTTATGAAGACAAAAGTTCTCTGTTTTTTGTTTACTTTTTTTCCCCTTGTGAGACTGGCTTTCTCAATAACTTTCATCTTGTATAATAACAAGAGAGTACTTAGTAGTGTTTTGGCAGACTCTGAGACTCCACCTCGACTTTCTGTTTATGCGTGTTATGTAAGTTCATGGACTTGCTAAAACGTGAATAATAAAGTTATGAGTAGTCTGGCATTTATATTCCTGAATCTTTGCCCTGAAAACACGAGTGCTTCGTTATTCAGCCTTCTGTTCTGTTTCAAAATCAACTTAATGCCTTTATTCACTAAATGCGACAGTTATTTCTAAAAGATTTTTTTTTTTTTTTTTCTGGGAGAAAATGGGATGAAGATGGGTGTTTCTAAAGGAAAACTCCAGGAAAAGATAGTTCTGACTGCTGTGACTGTTTCCCAGGGCTTAAATTGTCTTTGCCTCAGAAAGCAATTTTTTTCTCCTTAACAGGGCTTGCAGACGTTAGAACCTTCAGTTAGTCTTCAGGGTTAATAAAACCAGTATTTTTGGCTATACAGTCATATAGCCTGTAGGAGGAGACTGCAGTTTTGATTGCTGGGTTTTAGCAGAAACCCGATATGTTTCAGTTCTTAGGACCCTTCAACCTGGTCAAATCAGCATGGTCACCAAAGTCTTATTTGCCAAAATGAACCTGCAGCTTATATGGCAGACCCTGTTTTTACATTGAAGACTCTTTATTGTCAGAGACCTGACCGTACAATAGGAGTGGAGGTTTCAGCAATATCCACTTACGTTCAGCACTATCGATAACTTTCACCCTTAACCAACCCTCATGTTCACGTTGTTCTCTCTTGTAAGGGCACGTATTTACAGCTCACAGTGCAAAATGTTCTTCAAAATGGAGTCTGCTGGGTTTAAAAGCTGTAGTTTTTCACAAATGGAGGTCCCAGACCCTTCTTTTGCTGGAGTCTTGGCTTACATTGTTCTGGTCAGAGCCCGTTCTGAATCCCTACCTCGGCTGCGTGTGAAGGCTTCTCTCAAAAAAGGAACATGGTAGCCAAAGGCTGGTGGTGATTTAGCTTCCACGCTGCTCTTCGGAGCTCAGTGCTTTTGACCATGCCTTCATTTCTTCCTCTCAACAAGCTAAATTTTACATCTGCTTCTCCTGCCATATGCTACTAAGCTACATAAAACCGTTGCAGGGATCAAATTAACTCACTCCTGCAGAGACAGCTTAGTAGTGTGAAGCAAGTACAGATTTTTCTTTACCCTCTGGGAAGGGAGACAGCAAGCAAAAGTATTAAATGTAAAGCTGCATTTTTTTGGCATAGTGCATGGCAAACTGAAAATCAGAAAATAAAAGTAAACAAACAAATAAAGGCCAAAACCTGATCTCAAATAAAGGGAATCAAGTAGTTTACATCTCGGAAGAATGTGGTTTCAGTCACTTCTTTTCAGCCCTTGGTTTGAACTATTGAAGCTCTTTTGGCAACCATGAGGGATAAAGAATAAATTTGGCAGAGCACAAGGCTTCCCAGGTCATAATGCATTAACTGTTTTGTTTGTTTTCCTTCTCAAACTTGGATTAATACCATGCAAATGCTGTGCAACTGTTCAGATGGGAGCATTGGTGGTCAGGGGAAAAGTAAAAACTGAAGTACACTGAACACCACTGCAATTTAACTGTGGTGGTAAGTACTACAAATTACGTTTTTTGGTTCTTTTTTCTTCTCCCTCCACCCCCGGTGCTCCTGTCTAAATTAATGTAAAGTAACTGGTTGAGCGACTAGTGTGTTAATTTGAAATTACCTGAGGAGAGGGAAAATCCTAAAAATATGTGCTTAGCAGCGTGGTGTCACTTAATAGGGAGGGTTTGCTCCATGTTTTTAAAATACGAATTTTGCTACACAAATCACAATGTACAATCCTCCTTAAATAACTAAGGACACTTCTAATGAAGACTCTCTTATTTGAACTCTGACAGAGTCTCCTGAAGATGTGGCTCCAACAGTTGGGTTTTCCAAGATTGACCTTAAACAGGGACGCTTCGAAGTCACCATCTTTGATTTAGGAGGTGGAAAACGAATTCGAAATATCTGGAGAAATTACTATGCTGAGTCCTACGGTGTAATATTTGTTGTGGATTCCAGTGACATTGCAAGAATGGAAGAAACAAAGCAAGCCATGATAGAAGTTTTAAACAGCCCTAAGATATCAGGAAAACCCGTATTAGTGTAAGTAATGGTAATAAATGTTCTCCTAATAATCTAAATTTTGTAAATTTTGACCTTCAATACACCTAAAGAGGTATTTATGTGTAGTATAAACATGAGTATAAAGTACACTAATACTACTATAACTTAAGCATTAAGCAACATTACAATTAATTTTACAGTATTTCTGAAGTATTTATTTATGCCAATCTTAATACCATACTAGTGAACAAAGCCTTTTCTTGCTTTCTTCCCTCCTTCTTTCCCTCTTGAGTTGTACATGGTGATATACTGAATCCATTCATCTGACATTAGATCTAGTTTAGTCCTTCTCAGGGATGTTTCCTTCTCTTTCATTGGCAGTGGAAAAATAAGGGTGTTTTTTTTAACTCTTTAAAAAATTCTAATATTGCTTGAAATAGTATGATAGGTTAAAGGCTTTGCAAGTTTGGCACAGCAACATGGTGTAAAAATATTGTTGCTATTTAGGCTTACATCAATTACTTAAATTGTAAATGGTTGATTATATAGTGCAATACCAGTAATCTCTCAGCAATAAATGTCTTGTTCACTTAACACATGGTGGTGCTGCTGATACATGATCAGCAAAATCTCATTAAAGAAGGCTTATTTTAATAGTATTTGGCATATGCTTTTTTTTCAGTGCGTGTGTTTTAATTAAAAAAAACAGTTAAAGATTCAAAAGGTCTAGAAACGTTCTTTCACAGAACAGATAGATTCATTAACTTCTCTGCTTAAATAATAGCTTTTGTAAAATATTGAAAATAACAAATTTTACTGAATTCAGCCACACGAAAGATCTTTGAGGACAAATACCCATTTGAAGTTACAAAATAAAGTATGGAAGTTTAAAATGGTTTATCAGGACAATATCTTTATGTCTGCATAAGACCTCTGTAACGCAGTAATTAGACAGCATTTCTGTGACATAAAGGATCTGTAAAGCTGAGAGGAGTGGCCTCTCTTAAGAAGTAGTGATGCCCTGGTGGTTTGAGGGTGAAACTGGCTAATCTGTTTTGATCAAGTGGAGGGTAGTTGAGCAATCTAATAGTATATATGTTGAAAATAGATTAGATTTTAGCTCTTATTGCTATCTGAATGTTATCAGTACAGGGAAGGCAATAAACCCAACTTAACGCATCTAGTTTAACTCAAATCCGTTCTGAACATGGAAGTGTGACAGATGACAGCTGTGCGGTGTTTCTAAGTAAATACAACTTTAGGATTATTTTCATAGAAATGTCTATGCCCTAATCCCACAATAGAATTTATTTGAGTGGCTGGCTGTACCTGTGGAAAGCCCGCTCACTTCCCAGGGACTTGATCCTGCTTTGCGATCCATATCAGTAGCTAACCAGAAGGCAGAGTGTACTGACAGAGTCTAAGGGTGCCTAAACTAAGTTTGTTGATGTTATTGCCTTCTAATTGATTGAGCCTCAAGTCTTTGAACAGGATTTGCTCTTGCAGTGTCCCAGTTCTGTGGAGGGATCTAGTAGTTCTTTATTTTATGCTTTCTATACGAGCCTGCGTCTTGAGGTATGAATTCTTTCCTGTATTGTCTTTGTTTTCCATTTGGTGTCTGTGCTCATGGCATAGCTATGCTACTCTTGGCAAGTTCAAATCCCGTAAACCCTAGAATTTGTTCCAGTATTTGAAGCGTTTCTGTGTTGTGAAGGCTGCAAGTTGTGAGTCAGAAAGGCTTGGTCAGTAAGCACTGGTGTTTGTGGTATGGTAATGAAGCGCTTAGCAAATGAGATTAAACTGGTCCCATGCACCTTCCCTTCTCCTGATTCTCACTCATACTTGCCAAATCAGACTTCTGTGGCATAAACTTTTTTCCCTTAAGTCTCTATAACTGAAAAATGAAAATTTATCAAGAGCAGAATAGAGGAAACAGATTTCCAAATTTGTAGTGAAAATTAGCCTTTTTTAATATTTCCATCTTCTAAGGATGTTCAGCTTTTGTTTTGTTTTGGGTTTGTTTGGGTTTTTTTAGTAATGAGATACTTGGTATCCACATAGCAACAAGTTCCCTAATCTCTGGATAAATTTTGAATTAGTGCATTTTAGTCTGTCCATGTATATGTGAAGACTAGAATTTACTGAAAACAATACAGTGACCTCTGAGTATAAAATCCAAGAAGGTTGAAGTTAAAGTAATTCCCGTCTCTCCCCATGTTCTTGCAGTGCAGAGTACAATCTATTTCTCTTTTCATAGAATACTGCTATAATTTCATTGCAGAGGAGAGAGACTCCTCCTCTGTGATTTCTACACTCCAGGAGTGTGTCTCTGGTCTGGACTACTGCTTTCCTCCAGCACTTGAAATAAACAAGGAGAAGCAGAAAAACAGGTGTGATTTGTTTACTCTCTGCTGCTTGTAGGTGCACAGATTCCTCTGCTCTGTTATTTGTATGCTTAAATACAAAGCACTTAGTCATTAGTGTTTTATTAATTACCAATTAACATCTTAAAAACTAATAAAAGAACCTAAACTCTAAAGGAGTGAAAAGGAGTGAGCTCTAACTGTGTGTGTGTGCTGAAGAATGATGAGAGAAGTATTGCTGACTTCATCAGAATAAAACAATTAAAATGTTTATACTGGATAGTAATGTTTTTTTTTAAGCATAGCTTGAACCAATGTACCAAAATTTCAACAGTCAGCACTGAATTTTGGTCTAATGTTATTCACCCTAACTTGTGCTATATGCAGTATCTTGTACAACTAATTACATAGAAGTATGCTGTAAGATTGGATGCAAATCCATTCTGGATTTAGAAGGCAACAGCAGAAGTTGCTGTTTATGCAGTATCAGGTGTATCATTCTGTGTACCCAGCATCTGCTTCTCTTTGAAATAACCTGCTGGTTGAACATTTTGGGGGTTTTTTTGTTTGTTTGTTTTGATTTTTGTATGCTTCTGGTAGATAATAATCAAAAAGACAGAATTACCTTTTCTTTTGCATTTGTGGACTTTCATCTATCTGGAGAAAACTAATTTTGCCAGTTAGATCAGGGAAAAATAAAATCTTCACGACTGGTAACTAAGAGCTTTAAAATAAACCATTGCTCATCAGAGTTAAATTTGTGTATTCATAAAGGAACATTCCAGTTATCAGATTATTAATATCATATTTGTGGCTATGCTCTGTAATATTTTCCTGATTAGTTAATAAAACTTGGAGTGATACTGCAGTGGTAGCAATGATAAGGAGGCAGGAATTTGCCGCTGGAAAAGAATTCTGATCTATCAGAGTTCTCTTCCTAATCTGCCTTTATACCATGGACTGCCTCAGTATATAGAAAAAAAAAACCTTGAAACAGAAATTACATTCCCTGTTAGGTAAATTAATGCCTACTGGAACTTTCATCTTGTTTTACTTGTAGAGCTCCTGGTGTTCAGAACATTGGGATTTGGATTAAGAGTTCTGTTGTTGAATGCTTTTAGAAAATTGGTTGTTCAATAATAATTCCAAGAGGAAATAAAATACAATTTGTATAACTCTGTACTAATGAATAAACACATTCCCTAATATACTCACCTTTTCTTACATACTCTGACCTCTCTCACTAGTTCCTGAAGTCTCACCTCCTTACTCTTTCTCCTTTTCTTCCCTTCCTCCATTCAGCATTTTCTCTCTGGCTGGGTAAGCACATGCTGTGTCTGGTTGTGGCACAACAAGCGGAGTACTTGTCTGTTACCTTTGAGAACAGGTGAAGTGAATGAATTAAAACTAGTTTTGCTCTCTCTCTTCTACCTATATGAATTTGATATAGGTCAATAGTACGGTTATTGTAGGAGCTAACTGTCCTTGCAAAAATGATCTCAAAAAATAGTGGGGGAAAAAACTTTTTCTACTCAGGTAGGTAACTTTTGATGTGATGTAATGGGTAAAATATATGCTGAATCTTGAAGTTCCTTTATCTAAATATATCTCCTTTTTATCTTTAAAGATTTAAAAAAGAAAATAACATACCCTGATTTAAATAACTGTATGTTTCTTCCTGTAAAAAGGTAGTGTTGTTTGTAACTATGGAGTCTGGTTCATTACAGCAAAAACATCTCTGATAGTGACATTTAAATAAAAGCATTCTCTAGTTGTTTGCTGTTATGTGATAGCAGATTTGTTCAGTGCTCTGTATATTCATTCAGTTTCAAGATTTTCTCATTTGCTAATGTGGATTTGGAGTTGTAAAAAGCAAAAAAAAATAATAAAAAACCAAAACCAACCAAACAAAGAAAACTACACACACAAAAAACCCCCAAAAATAGGAAAAAAACTTTGACAGTAATACACTTAATGGTCACCAGGAAAGGCTTGGGAGTCTTTGAAACACAGTCCTTAATGAAAGTAGACAAATTAATATTTTTTTTTCATTTCGAACAGCACAGTAATTGTGGTTTGTCTGCACTGAGAGATTTACTCCTTCCCCTCTTCTCCCCTTTATTTTTCTGTTGTTCTTTGGGTGATGCCACCACAATGAGCCCTGCTGTGTATGTGGTAGCGGATTCACTTATTTCTACTTGAAGAGTAAGTTGTGTGTCCTCCCTCTTCCTGAGGGGGCATGTCTGTGTAACACTGTAGTTTGGTCAGATAGTCGGGGTGTAGACCATACCAACGTCAGCTCCTGTTGATCAGGACAGGTCTGCAATACTGCATCAGCAGGTCTTGCACACTACATGCCCTCATGCTATGTCCCAAGAGTTTTAAGTGCATGATACCAACATGAACAATTCTTTCATAAGATGCATTGCACTGATCGGTAGTTTAGACATCTTAAATTAAAAATTAAATAATTTTATAGATGTAAGTCCTAAGGCCAGAGGGATGTCACATGCAGCCCACGAGACTGGGGTCAAGTGCTGTAGTGTGGATGTGACCAGTCCTCTCAGAAGGGGGTCTCCAAAAGCTCTTCTCTGCAGACAGTTTACTTGGGTGCCAGTCCACACCACTTTATCCAGGGGCTGGATCTTGTTCTCCTCCACTATCCACAAAGGCAATGGGGATAATTTATTGTCCAGGTGAGCAACTAAGTTAATGTATTTGATGGGGAGGAGAGGTGTGAGAACAATTTAGGCATGTTGTCCAGCTAAGACTGTGATGTGTGCAGTAAAAGGGTTTTAATCATAATGTATAGGGGGGTGTGAAAATGAGGCTCTCAGTTCTTTCATGAAGTATATGGAAAATTCTATCCACAACAAATACTTTTAAATCATTCCAGTAGAAGAGCAGGTCCTGGAAAAATGTGTTTAAGAAAAAAAAAATAACTTTTTCCAGAATAAAAGTAAAAAATCTTTTTTTTTTTTAAATGCTAGCTTTTCCCAGTAAATACACTATTTCTATTATTTCTTTGAATAACAGAACATTTCCCCAGATTGTTTTTCCTATTTTGTTTTACATCTGCCAAAACAAGCAACAATCCTTTCTGGAAAGCACTGGGAATTAATGCCAGCTTACGTCACTGCGTGTTGTCTTAGATGTCTTTTGTTTGTAATCAACTTTATACTGTGAGTAGTGCTAGCAAGGTATGACTGTGAATTATCATGGGTAGATGGGTTTCATTTCACAATAAATATACAATAAATATACAATATATATAAAATACTGGTGAGTTTGAGATGCAATCTTCATTGCAGAGCTAAGTCCAGTTGGAGTCACTGGCCCACTTTTCCTTTTGCCATCTTTTCTTCCATCCCAATCTACTGCATTATGGTATGCCCTAATCTGATAGTAAGCGTATGCATGTGACAGCTCTACTTTTTGCCAGGCGTAAGAAGGCACACTGCTGACAGAAGAGTAAAGGGGAAGACAACTCTTGCTCCTCACCTTCCCTGATAAAGGAATGGATAGCAAGCCTGAGCACTATTCAGGGAGAAGTTGAGGACCAATAGTCTGGAAAGAGAATAGGCTGAATTGTGCAATGTGGGCATAAGTTTGGTACAAGACACCCTATATTACAGTAAAATGGGGATATAAGGGTTCTAATGTTGTTCAGTGTGATATTTGCTTCAAATTGAATGGGTACTGTGGCATCTTCTTATCTGTCACTGCCCATGGAGGTATCACAGTATCATTTTAAGACAGTTTTCCTGAGGTGCTGATGGTATTGGCTGTTGTTGAGTCTTAGAAAAAATTACTTCAAGACGTTAAACTTTATATTTGGCATTTTTTTTTACTGTTCAGTGTTACTACTCAATTTATGTTTGCTTTGCTCATGTGGGCCTCGTTTAACACTCAAGTGCTTAAGTAGTTAATCGATCTGTTATGTATGGGGAAATTGAGTTGTAGAAAATAACTTGCAGTTATTATCTTCAAGGGTCAATTCTTCTGTCAGCATCCTTAAGACATATAGGTACACAAGTTTAAATTTTCTGTTCTTTGAATTGTTTTGTCCTTTCTTTTATGAGAAAGGAATACTTCATATGATATAGGCAAACACAGATACTGTTTTTGTTTGAATTTTTTTTTGTGTTGTGGGTTTTTTTAGGGGGAAGTTTACTTTGTCATGAAATGTGTGCAAGAAGGAATACAATTCCATGTGCTATGACTGATATTTTTATACCAGAGAGATTGCTGGGCAGCTTTTTTCAGTGGAAAGCTGCATTCTACGTGTTATTATAGTGATGAGGGATTGTACCTACTAATATTTTACATTTCTTATTAGAATACTTAGCAGCTTTGCTTTAATTTGTTTGCTGTGCTGCATAACTATGTAACAACAAAAAAAAACCCACAAAAATGCAAAGTTATTTTAGTGATTAGTTCAGCCTGCACGATTTCTGCTATTAATCATTTTAAATACTCAATATCAAATTCTCATGATGTAAATGTAAGATGTAGTTAATACTAATTACTTTCAGTTAATAGCACCTGTATTAAGAAAAAGCTTTCCACAATTCTTTCCAGTTTTCTTACTTATCAGTTCTTCTGCAGCTTGTTATGTTTCTGTTTTGCCATTTTCTCACCCATATACAGCTGAAAACTACTTGAATTATTTACTCGTGTATGGATAGGCAGCTGTCTTCCTGAGTATTACTGAAACTTGAGTTTTCTTCTGGGATTTAAAGTACAGCTCTTGTTTAACCAGACCATGTTTACTTCAAAGAAATAGCTCAGTGGTGTGAAGAGGAAGGGCTAGCCCAGGAACACATTTCTCCCTCAGATAAGGATGCTCGTGTGAATACTTCTGCTTGGGGGATGCTGTGTAACCAGGTGGTGTTTGCTGTATTTTGGTTTTCTCTTCTCTCAGTGCTGGCTGCAATAATCCTTCACAGAAGTACCCTAATGCCTTTCTTTTTAAGGGCCCAGGAGAGAAGGAAAAGGCTATCTCTTATGTGCTTCTGTTTTTTTCTGAAGGCAAAAACAGGAAAAGAAGATGGGGTGGTATTTCTGTGTAGTGCGTGTTTCTGTGTGTTTTATATATTTTTATATATGTATACATATATATGTGAAAGCGCATGTTGTCCATAGCAACTTTTTTCTATGTCTTGCCCTTGGCACATAAAGTAGCTTCCATATATGTAACAGTTAAGGGAGATTATTTAATGGAATAGTATCAGTGGTGTCATTATCTAATTTCATTTTTTGTTGCTACTCTGTAAACAATCTTTTTTACTTTAAGGTTCAGACCTCTGATTGTACTTTGATAACAGTTAATTTCAGTTGCAATTTTAAGCTGAGATGGAAGGAATCCAACTATTTATAAATATCACAGTGTGAAAAAATAAGTCAGTAGTGTCTTTTGATAGTAGATTGATTGTTTTATTTTTTTTCCCCACTAGAGGCAATTAAAGACATCTAGCTCACTTAGTGTCTTGCAGAATTGTAGTGCCATTTGCTCTGACTTCTCTGTATCCAAATATAGTGGTATTGATTGTGTCTTCGCACAGCATAAAGGAGTTCAGAAATACATTCCTGGTTCGGTGTTTGGTTTTAGTGGTGATTTTTTATTATTTTGGGAAATAACTTTTTTGTCTAAGCTGCACTGTTATTTTCTGTTTAATTGCGTTAGAGCACTATATCTTGTTCAGTTCCAAAAGGGTTTGGGTCCAGGGCAGAAACAAACCATTGGGACTGTGGAAAGCAAAAGCACTTCACATCTGCTTGTTTCTCTTCAGTGCAGAAATAACTGGTGCTGCAAAATAAAGCAGTGGTATACTTCCTGTCTTGCTAGTTGAGCTATTTCATAGAGAACATCTTGTGTATCTTCAGGGACAGGCTGAGTCAATGGCTAGCTGCTCTGTTTTAGGTACTCGGGAGATATTCATATTTACTGCTTTAGGCATGTGATTTGCATACTTACATGAGGATCCTAGGCTCCTACAATTAGCAGAATTTCATGGAACCGTTTAGAGCTCTGGAAACCCTGAACTAGTTCTTCCGGCCACTGCTGTAGTAGTACAAATAAATGCATGTCCTGTACCATGTCCTGTTCTGGACTTCCCACTACAAGACGACCGTGAAGATAAATGTTGATTAGTGAGTCCATGCTGCTTGAGTGTTGGATTGTGTAACATATGAGGAGAGTCAGAGACCTGTGTTTGAACTTAAGATGAAGAAACTAAGGGAGAGATCTTCCTGCTGCCTACTAGGAAGGTGTGAAGATAACAGAACAAGGCTTTCTATGGCATAGTGATAGGATGAGAAGTGGTGGACAAGAGCGGCAACCAGGGAAATTCCTGTCTTGATTTGAGCAAGAGGCTAGTCTGGATGTCTGCTAGAAGTTCCTTCCAACCTAAATCATTCTCTGGTTCTAGATTATGTTTATTTTTGTAAGGATGGAATTTTATTTTTTTATTATATTAGTTTCTCAGCAGGCTGCTAACAAATATCCTTGTAGGCTTGGTGATGTGATCTTCTGCTGCTAGTGATATTTAATATGTTCAGAAAATATCGTCTCGACACCTATCTGTAAGAAATACAGCATGGAGTTATTAAAATAAATAACCCAATGTCTGTTTTGCATTCTGTAAGACAGTACACTCTGTCCTACTAAAACATGAGCATTATTTCATGGTGTTAAGTAGGTAAGTAAGCCTGTAAGTAACTTTTCCTATAGAGGCAGTATTGAAACACTCCTGATAACTGTTTTCTGACTTCTTATTTGGTTTAGGCATCCCGTTCTGGACTGCTTTATGTGTAGATTTTATTACTTTTTTCTTGTAGAATTGCAGATTCCTGGAAAAAAACCCTTGGAATTTGAACCAAGTAAATATGAGTGCTAAAAAACCACAAGGCTGTTAAAAATACTAATTATTATTTTATAAAAGGTAACTAAACCATTGTTACGAATCCTGTCTTTGAGATTAAAAATATTTTCAACACTTCCCACAGGCACAGGTAGTTTGTTGCCACATTGTTTTAGTTTGAGTGGAAGATCAAAAAAGTGTCACTTGTGTCCTTTGATCCTTTGCTCTAGGTCCTGTGTTTCTGTGAAAACCGTAAGATTCTTTGCATTCTTCTAACTCTGTTTGAAAAAACAGATGCCGTTTTTCCCCGAGACCTCTGTGGAAGGGGAAGTGGGAATTAAAATGAAGCAATCAAGGGATCCTGAGACTGCTTTACAAGATCAATTTACTAAATGGGAACCATTGGTATTTCAAACAGTTTGTTTCTTTTGTTATTTGCAGCATGGACAACACCAGCAGCATATTGCTTTGCAAGGGTGCCTTTTTCGATACTTGACTGCAAGCCCGAATTTTTCTTTAGATACTTGAGTGTATTCTTGAGTATTGTTCATGCTGATTTCAATGTTGTTCATCATCTCCCCTTGCTCCTCCACTAGAACTGATACCTGTATAAAAAGTTCCTTTAAGTCTTTGATTTGGTTCTCCAGATTGACTAGTTCTTTGTGTCTCTGTTCAATCTCTGAAAGCTGAGCTTTGGTAATTTTTACTTCAGTGAGTAGATTTTCATTGAAAATTTCCCATTTTCCTTGTTGGAGCATGTCATTGACTTCTTCCTCAGATACATCTTTACCAGCTACTTCAAGCTGACGGACAATAAATGTTCTGCATTTCTCTTGCTTAGCAGTTATAGCGTCGTTGTATGAAAGCATAGCATTGAGGTAACGCCGGGATAAGAAAGCGTGCTGGGAAGCTAGAATTCTTACTGTGGCACGTGATGGCCCATGTTCATTTTCAGCTTTTTTCACTGTTTTTGACAGTTCATCCAAACACTTTCGTATGTGCTCTGCTTGAATTTTTATTTCTCTTGCTATGTTAGATTCCTTTTTCAGAACACTGAATCTTCTCATTGAAGATACGAGGCTTTTTTGTTGTTGACTGAATTTATGAACTTCCTCCACCAAATTATTAATTTCATTCTGAAGCTTCTGGATTTCATGCAAGTGCCTTTCAGTAATGGGCTCTTTTTCATAAATAATGGCCTGCTGTTCAAACTCCTCCTGTTCTTCTACAGTTGCACCATTGTTTTCTCCAGCTATCTGGAGTTCCTTAGCTCTCAGTTTAAGCTCTTGGAGGCGATCTCTCATGGTTTTTGTGTTCAGGTTTTTTCCCCTCTAGCAGCACAAGGAGTTAACTCCAATACCTTCTTTCTTGTTTTGCTGTAATCAAAGTGTAACAACAATCAATGTTTGCAGTTTTATGTATATACATCAAAAGTAGTTTTGGAGATTAAAGCTACTTCCCTCTGCAGAAAGGTAAAGTAAAAATAGCAATGAATTGGAAGTGGTAGGTGTTCTGAACAAATGTACAAGGTAGGTTGTGTCAGTGCACTCCACCATTTAATCCAGTTTCTGCAGGACTTAATCATAACATAAAGTTTTAATTTATCTTCAGATGGGTAAGGTTTAAGATTCTTCCCTGAGCTTCTTCACTGTAGTGTTTTTTTCCACATACAGTGATTTATAGCCCAGGCCCATTTTGTGGTGGATTTGTGATGTAAGGTCCAGAACTTACAACAATGAGTAATATGGCATGTGGATAGGACTCCTATTTTGGGGAGGGAGAGAGAAGTGACTCAAATTCTTATTTTTATCATAATTCCAGTTTAATGAAAACTAATCAACTTCTAAATCTTTTTGGAAATATAAGTGACTCTGCTGCTCCATTTTTGGATTCTCAGTAGGAAGCACACACTTCAGCTTTTGAGGTTATGAGACAGTCTACCTACTGAATCAGAGTTCTGGCATAAATAAGCTTCTTTAGGCTTTTAGTTTAGCCATGCTGAAAAACCTTTCTCCAATTCCCTTGACTTCCTTTGCCTAGGGAGTTAAACACCAATAGTAACTGCAGAAGTTAACTTTACAGCAAGGCAGAACAACAGAATTTTAACAATTTAGCATAGAAATACCTACTATTTTTTTAATGTCTGAGTTTTCATAGAGGTGGATCCATGTCATTAATATTGCAGCTTGAAAATTTTCTAGGCCTTTTTTGGATTGCTGTCATCTATTCTTACATTGTCATTTGCAGTCTTCATAAAATTTATGTAAATGTACTTTGTGCACCATAGTGGGATAGAATTCAGTACTGTTTCTTATTTAATAGAAAGTGGATTTAGTTCTGTGTTCTATCCTAGCTGTTATGCAAGCTTTACTGGAGATATAATGAAGAGAAAGTTTCTGTTGTGTATGTTCTAGAAAATAACTAAGTTCAACTATTTTTAATGATAGGGAAGAAAGTATTTTCCTCAAACTCTCCATGAATGTTTTCCTTGGACTACGATCAAGAATGGAAAATTTCAATAAAAAGTAAAATGTTCAGGACTAGAAGATCATGAGATTTCTACTTGGGGTCGTCTGGTTAAGTCAAACGTGTGCCTTTCAAAAGGCTGTTCAAGTGTCAATGTTAAACAGTATAGTGGTTTATTTTGGCTGTTTTCTGAGGTTTCAGGGCAGTCTTCTGAAATAGTAGTGTTTTATAGGTAGGTTTCTTCTTAAATCCCAATTCTAAAGATTTATGTTATTTTATTTTATTTTAGTAAGTAAATGCAGTATCTCTCTGGAGTATCCAAAAGGATGCATTTGTAATAACTGCAAAGGATCAGTCCAGTAATCTGTCAATGTGCAAACAACTTTGTTACATTTGAACAGCTTAAAGTGATACTGCACATATTTGAAGTCCTTAGATTTTAGCATAATATAAGTCATGGAGTTGAACAGTGTGAACATGTTTTCCACAGGTGTAAATCTGGCTGTATGCAGGAGGATTAGCTGAAAAACAAAACTTGAAATGCTACAGAGATCAATTGTGAGAAAGAATGTTGATATTCTAGCCTAGTGTGGTTTTCCCTTGCAGCTTTTTTTTTTTCCTTTAATGCCTTAATATCTAAATTTAGTGTTTGATTCACATGAGGAGAATCCAAAAAGCCTGGCAGTCATTAGAAGTTACAGTAATGTAGTGAGACTTGTGAGCAGGCAAGCTTGCAAGTAATTTATGGGAAAACATTACTTTGGGTTGGGGAAAATGCAACACATATTAATTTTGTTACAGTAATTCCCCTTCATTGCCTAACTTGCTGTGTATCTCCCCACAGCAGAAGTCAGGTAATTTCTTCAAGGTAACATTCCTTAGGAATGTTTGAGAGCTGCTTGGCACCACCGAGACTGCTGCAGGGAAAGTTCAGTCTGGGGCATGTGAAAGGAACCGGGAGTGCTAAAGGAGGCTTCAGAGAAGTGACCTGAAAATCTGTTTTAGTATAGCCTAACACATCTGTTGACCCCTGTTAATTTGGCATGGCTTGACAAGCAAGCCTGTGATTAAAAGCAAGTTCTGAGGGCACCATTAATGCTTATAATGTGAGGTGGCAACACTTTCTTGCATCTAAGAGAATGCAAGTAATTACTGAAAAGCTCTAAAACGGGCATGCAGTCATCCAGTTACTCCTTCAGGACAGTACAATTTCTCAAAAGGGCAGTTACCAGTATTACATATGATTAATCTCCTATGGTTTGGAACTATGCTAAGCTTCATCTTCAATTTGTGTGTCTGTTAACAATTGACATCCAGTTTTCAATGTTTTGAGTGCATTAGTCTTGAAATAGCTGTATTTCTTGGGGGGGGGGAAGCAATAGAATTGCAAATCTGCAAATGTTCTATATCAAACTTGCAAAGAAGTAAGCAGAAAATACTTCATATTGCTGTTAATGGAATTCTTTTTTTCTTGTTTAAATCAGACTCACTAAAGAGTGAAATGTAAGCAATTGAACCCTACTTTTGTATTTTGTATCCTGTCG